GAGGCCCATTTACAACCAATGTATATAAAATATAACAATATCAAGGGCTTACAAAGTTGACCTTACGCGTTTCGGCCAAATAGGCCTTCCTCAGAGGTCATACATATGTGGCAAGATGGTTAATAATTATATTCACATAAACACAATCAGAAATATATACAAAGTATAGATTCAATGAGGACCATAAAGTAAATGGTTCAAAAGTAAAATCACCAGGCACAAGGTAAATATGCACACCGCGCACTTAACCACGACACCAAACTGGCTCTCAAAGTGATAACAAGAAGCCTGCCACTGGCAAACAGGAACATCTGGAAAGAAACATTCCTCCAGAAGACTTAAACAGTATTTGTAGATGTTGAGAGATCTGCTCAAGGTGAAAGTGACTGAATTGCATATAACTATGGGAGATAGCCCGGCGACGAGACCAGCCGTTTAGCTTGGACTAATACCGCTAGGATGATATCATTACGACTAAAGCCTGCAGGGGTCATTCCCTGCAGGTGCCAACTGCAGACCATCTTGAATTTAAAGCACTTTATTATTATTATTAATGGTATGTTGATTGTGATTTTGTGATTTTATTGGATTTTATAAATTTTATGTATGGGCTTATGCCTTTGTAAGCCGCCCTGAGCCCGCTTGCGGGGTAGGGCAGGGTAGAAATACCTGAATAAATAAATAAAATAAATAAATCATTCTAATGAATGTGTTAATACTGTGCACCACGTCGTATGAGACGATTCCACTTGCGTGTTGTGTGTGCAAGTGGTAGGAATCTTTTCTGCTCATTAATTGTGTCTATTTGTTCTTCTTTTGCAGGTAGAGGAAGGAAGGTAAGCTCTGTCATTTTTATTTAGCGGCCTCCGTCAGTCCCACCAATGAGTTTCCATCCATGAGTAGATGCGCTTTACAAAGCATGGCAAAGATGCTGCAGGAAACCATTAAAGGTGGCATCAATATCAATTGTCTGGCCTTATCTGACAAATTCACTATTTGGATATCTGGTGAATACAGCAGAGTTTTGCCCAGTCATAGAAGCATGAGACTGAGTGCAGTAAATAAAATCTCCCAAGAAGTATATTGCAAAAAAGAAAGAGTCCTTTCCCTCTCACAAATGGGCAGCTTGTCCAGGAGCATGTGTGTGGGAGGATGAGGGCGTTGTCTCTACAGGAGAGACCTGCGAAGACATGTGTCTCCACGGAAGGCCATGAGGAGAGAGTGAGGTGACAAAGTAAGAGGAGGAGTCAGAGGGCAGGTCCCAGGTTAAGACAAAGAGGGGCATCCCATTCAAGGAGATAACACCTATAGAGTGACATAGCATGCCCCCCCCCCCAGTGCCCAGGCCTGCTGAGTTGCTCCCTCCAACATTCACTCTCGTGTGAGAACCTATGCCAGAAACCCCCTAACTCTTTTTCAGTAGCTTCAAAAAAATAACAGAAGCTTCTTAGGAGAAAAATAGTTGGAAGGGTCCAGGGTAAGGTTATCGACCTCCTCTCCCAACAGCAATGTTCCCTCTAAGCTGTGGAGTCTTGTGAGCAAAAATTCTACTTTGTGAGCTACTATCATTAACGCTGTGAGCGAGCCATTTGGCTACAGCATAAATTAGTTTGCTCTGGAGCCCCCCTTCTTGAGCAGAGACAACAATGTGTGAGCCAGAGGCTAAAAAACTGTGAGCTAGCTCACACTAACTCAGCTTAGAGGGAACACTGCCCAACAGTGTAATCCCTATTTATTAGGACCAGTCAAAATAGCACAAAACAGTGAAGGCGAGCTTTTGAATTTCCCAGAACACCTCCTGAGGCTGGATGTTAGGTAGCGAAAAGGAAGTGGGGGGAGACAGAGAGGAAAAGTAGTTTCAAGGTATGCTGGAAGAGCCCAAATTCCGCCAAGAACAGGGCTAGGAAAGCCTAACGCTGGGGTGGTGCTAGGAGTGTTACCCACGATCTCAGGGATTTGGAAAACAGTCTCTGCATCAGCTTCTGTCTTGCAGAGGGCTATCGCTGAGGGTTGCCAGGTCCGTCCTGGCAACGGGCGGGGGACGAGTTTGGGACTTACTGGGAGCATCAGGGAGGCCCAGCCAACGTACAGCGACATATCTATGTCACTGCCCGTGTGACCCGGAAGTGACGCCATCGCATCAGGGTGCCGCTCTTTTTTTTTTTGTGTGGAAAAAACTCTATGGTAAATTTGGCTTGTACCATAGAGGTTTTGCCCAAATACTGGAACATGTTTCAAATGTCCTGGATGTGATGACATCACTTCCGGGTCAAGTGGGCAGTAACGTAGACATATCACTGCACGTCAAATCAATCTTCCTCTTTTTCAGAGTGAGTTCTCCCAGGCCAGCTGATCGACAGCAGGGCGGTGGGGCCAGGCAGCAGGGAACCCCTGCCTCCACCAGGGGGTCTGACAACCCTCCCATCGACTCTCCCCCCCAGGCTAGCAGTTCCGTTATGGGGAAGCCATTCCCCCCAGCATTCTAAGCAATGCTCCCTCTAAGCTCCCTCTACTTTGTGAGCTATTGGCATTAAATTTGTGAGCGAGCCATTTGGCTGCTGCATAAATTGGTTTGCTCTGGAGCCATCCCTTCCTGAGCTGAGACAAAAATGTGTGAGCCGGAGGCTAAACAACTGTGAGCTAGCTCACACCGACTCAGCTTAGAGGGAACGCTGATTCCAAGCAAAGACGGCTGTTGCGGAGGGAATGTGTCACTCCCCAGTCCTAAGGCCTTCTGTAGTATGTAGTTGCTTTCTGATCTCTGAAGCTTTTCTGATTAATAACCAAGTGCCGTCAAGTTGCAACCGACCTGTGACAATCCCAGGCAAGAGAGGAGCAGAGGTGGTTGGCCATCACCTCCCTCTGCGTAGCAACCCTGGACTTTCATGGTGTTCTCCCATCCAGGTACTAGCCAGGGCCGACCTTGCTCAGGATCCTTAGCTCTGACAAGCTCAGGCTAGTCTGGGTTATTCAGGCTGCGGAAGATTTTCTAAAAACCTAGAAAGTCCTTTTTCTTCTTAGGCCTTGTAAAGCGGCCTGCATCCTGCTACCTGTCCCACGGGCAAAAGAGGGGGAAGCCACAAAAAGGGGATGCCGGGGATTGTATGAGGCAAAGCCATTTAGGACAGTGGCTGCAGAGTGGAAGAGAGCTGGAAGAGATTGAGTGGGGAAGCGAGCAGGATCCAGCCCAGTTTCGTTATTCGCTTCGTGTGGAATGCGAATCCCCGAAGAGCACTTTCTCAGCGAGTGTTCGTTAACGTTCCGCCGTCACAGATAACTTTTCTCCTCTGCCCTACAGGGTCAAAAAGGAGAACCCGGAGTTGTCCCAGTGGTAAGTTTATGTTTCCGCTTTATTCTTTACTTAAAAGTCTTTTTTTTTTTTAAAAAAAAATAGTAATCTATAGTGCGAGAATGAGCCTCGTAGAGTGAATTTTAGCACTGTTCGCTTTTTACCAGTTACAAAAAGGAGCGAGGATTCAGGAATGTCAAGGGCAGTGGGTAATGTGAAAGACGTCCTCTCGAGACCCTGGAGAGCTGCTGCCAGTCCAAGTAGGCAGCACTGATCTTGATGGACCGGTGGTCTCAGTATATGCTGACGCCACAATCCATGGTCCCCAGCAGCATCTGCTCCCCATAGCATTCCCCAGCAATTAAAAACATACTCTGACATGGCACCCCATCCCTGTGGTGGCCTGAGGAATGCAGTTTGACCCCCCGGAACCTGTGTGGAAGCTGTCAGAGAGAGAGATCTTTGAGGACCATCACAATCGACACATTATGGAGTATGTCAAGGGCAGTGGGTAATGTGAAAGACCTCCTCTCGAGACCCCGGAGAGCTGCTGCCAGTCCGAGCAGGCAGCACTGATCTAGATGGACCGGTGGTCTCAGCATATGCTGACTTCACAATCCATGGTCCCGAGCAGCATCTGCTCCCCACAGCATTTAAAAACATACTCTGACATGGCACCACATCCCTTTGGTGGCCTGAGGAATGCAGTTTGACCCCCGGAACCTGCGTGGAAGCTGTCGGAGAGAGAGATCTTTGAGGACCATCACAATCGACACATTATGGAGTCCTGGTGTGTTGGAGATCCAGTTGGGTGTAGTGGTTAGGAGTGCAGACTCTAATCTGAGAGAACCGAGTTTGATTCCCGACTTCTCCACATGCAGCTGCTGGTGTGACCTTGGGGCCATCTGCAGACTGAATCTCCATGTGATGATTGTTTTTGGTCTCTGTGTGGGAGATCTTTCGTACAAGCTTGCCTATTCTTTCTTCATTTATTACTGTTTGTCCTTAAACTTTTGTCCGGGAGGACGTACTTCTCTATGAGTTTCTGTTTCTTGTGGCTCCACCTCCTCTTGTAAGGCTTCCAAGGGTATGTTTGGAAGAAGGAACACACATCTGGAATCCCAGTGAATGTCTGAGTTGTTGATAGCAGCTTGTGGGAGGACAGCTGTAGAAGAAGGGAAATATGGAGTCCTTTCTGTCCTCTGTGAATGTCTGAGTTGTTGATAGCAGCTTGCAGAAGGACAGCTGTAGAAATGTGGAGTCCTTTCTGTCCTCCCCCTCCAAATTGCCCCATCTTGAGGTGGCTTTCTTCTGAGAAAAGCAGCCACCTGGATTTTGTTACACATGTGTGTGTGTAATGGTTCATCCCACTCGAAGTGGTGAATGTTGACCTGATAAAAGATAGTCTTAGTACCAGTGATAGGAGAAGACTAGCTTCCCGTGTGGGCTTGTTTGAGCCAGTTTTGGTGTAGTGCATGGACTCTAATCTGGGAGAACCGGGTTTGATTCCCCACTCTTCCACATGCAGCTGCTGGGTGACCTGGGGTCAGCCACAGTTCTCTCAGAGCTGTTCTCTCAAGGGCAGTCCTCGAAAGAGCTCTCTCAGCCCCACCTACCTCACAGGGTGTTTGTTGTGGGGAGGGAACGAGAAAGGAGATTGTA